AGGGGTGGGGCAGGAAGAACCCTCAAATTGCTGATTTCCTTACATAGTGGAGTATATGGAGGGTGAGAAGATGCATAGAGGTTTTAGGGGAGAGATTCCATGCAGGGAAGGATCTGGTGGGCAAAGGACACAGTCCCCTTCCTTAGAAGCACAGCAGGGGAGCACGCCGATGATTCATTCGTTTTCTGAGAAGGTGACAAGCGTGTGGCTTCAGTGGGACGGGCCGGCCCCACACTGACGCCCAGAGTGACCGTGATTTGTTCTGTAGACGGGTGATGTTGCCCATCCAGGTTGCATGCTGTGCAGATGTGCTGAAGGGAGGCAGATGGAAGGTGCAGCAGGGGCTGCCCTGTCTCCCAGCTCCACCACGAAGCAGAGCCTCCGCAGGGACAGGGCTGGCTTCCTGCCTTCCCACCAGCTTCTGACATCCAAGAGCCCAAGCCTCACTCCTGCAGCCCCTGGACCCAGAGGCCTGGCCCTGCTCGCATCCTGCTGTCAGCACTCGTCAGGGCCAGAACCGCTGTGGTTACGGGCAGCACTGGGGGCAGCAGGAAAAGAACAATGCATGACTCAGGCTTCCATGCTTCTGTTGTGGGTTCTAATTTTAGGCCGTTGTTCCATTCCTCTCTTTGCCTTTCCCAGAATTCTAACGGGGGGAGTGGTGGTGGTAGTGGTGGTGGTGATGGAGGCCAGCTGGCCAAGATTGAGACCAAGAGTGTTGGGCTGGGGGAGGAGCAAGAGTTGGGCCTGGGGTGCCTGTGGCGTGGTGGCAAGGTCAGGCCTGGGAGCTCTGAGGACAAATGGCTGTCAGAACCAGGCTCTGCACTGCCCTCCAGACAGTGGTCTTGGGTTGGGAATCTGGTGCTCTGACCCTTGCAACCCCACAGATTACTCAGCTATGTCATTTGAGCTCCAGGGAGGGAGATCTGGAAACTCCATAGTTCTGAGTCACTTGGGTTCGCAGGCAAATTCAAAAGCCCATGGAGCTCCGAGGGGTAGGAGGCCACGTGCCGCTGTGTGGGAGCTGGTGTGCGTGTGCCCACTGCCTGGGAGTCATGCCATCAGGGCTGGGGGGAAGCGTGAAGAGCTGGTTCGCCCTTACCCCATCCTCAGAGCTCCATGCCCGGCCCAAGCATGAGCGGACACCATGGGGAGGTGACCAGCGTGGATCCATCCGGCGCTTCTTCCTTCCTGGGCTCTCAGTGTCAGCGCTGCTTGTAAATGCTGAGCAGAGGTTTGTGTGTGGAGTCCCACAGCCTGGGTCTCAGTGCTCGCTTGTTTCTGGAAAGTTCTTCAGACTCCATATTTCTCCAGAGCAGAGGATGGTATGTGGTTGGCAGCTCCTTGTAGTCTGACACCTTTGTTTGTGATGTGAAGTAGGTGTGTGTGGTGTGTGTGCATGAGGTAGTAAGTGGGTTAGGTTGTAACAGTTACACCTGCCTGCAAACCGGCTTTGAGTGGGCATGTGCACACATCAGCTCACCTCCTGAGGTGGCTTCTCAGGGGCAGCTGGGTGTGGGGAATGGGAGTGGGAATCCAAGAGGGATGGGAGAATCCTGCTGTCCCACATCCACCCATGGGCTGTGTGGCCCTGGCCAGTCTCTGGTGTGCCTGGAAGACTGACACTTCTGCCCTCCTGGGAGTCCCCTGTAGGGAGCACAGGGACCCCTCAGGTGTGCCTTCGGCCCAGGGAGGGTTTCCTTGGCAGCCCTCCTCCCTGCCAGTTGCAGCAGTGGACACAGTGGGCTGGGTGCTCCACTCTCTCATGGGGGCTCAGGGGGCTGGTGCTCTTCCCCCTTTCTTGACCTCCTGCCCATTGCCCCCTCCTTCAGAGATGTTCTGTTGACTTCACCCCTTGCTGACCTCTCCACTCAAGTCTCTTCCTCTTCCCTTTTCATCTCCCACGTCAGCACCCCGCTTCCTACCCCGTCTTCTCCCACTCAAACCAGAGAGCCTTGCTCTTGGCTCCTCCCAAGGAGATTCCCTGTCCCCTACAAATGTCAACCCAAACCGGAAGTCCATTTCCTCTGTCCACTGCCTTTTGTGTATTTCCCAGCTCTCAAAAGTCTGCTCCCATTATCTAGAGCTCTGTGACAACCTACCCCAGGCCTAAAACTACCCCCGACTTATTATATCTCCAAGTCTTGTGAGTCGGGAATTTGACAGGGCTCAGCTGGACAATTCTCCTCCTCCTCCTCCTCCTGAGGCCCATCCTAGTGGCTCCAGGGTCCTCAGCTGGTCTGGAGGGTCTAGGGTAGCCTCATGGAGATGTGTGGTGTTTCTAGGCTCAGCCGGGGCTGTCAAACGGCCTGCTCACAGGTGGCCCCTCCAGCATGCAGCGGACAGCCCCAGCCGAGCCAGCACACAGGCAAAGACAAGGCTTTGGATTCCACCCTCAATGAGAGGACTGGCAAAGACTTTGCAGCTGTCTTCCTTCTACTGCATTGTCATTCAAGGTCTGGAGCTGAAGCTTCTCCCTGCTTTGCATATATGTTACAACCTTGATCTTGCAACTCTACCTAGGTCCTTGATAACTGGTTTGCTCAGCTATGCTATGTACTCTCCATGAAGGGAGGAGAGGGAGGCTTTGGCCAGGTGCTATAGGCCAAAGTTATACACAGTAGATGCCAGCCAAAGAGAGCAGGATCTGGGACAGGGTTTTCACAGGTCAGGCATGGCGCTAATGACATGCGTTATCCATGACTTCTCTCTAGGCATCGTGGGCTTGTGAAATCCCAGCTCAGGGACTTTGCCAGGGAGCAGGGGTGGGGAGCCCAGGCAGGCAAGGTCACCTGGCTGGAGTGGGCAAGGTGCGTGCTTTGTCTTGGTGAGGATGGCTGTTACTCGTGATCCTTGCCTGCTGCAGGTTTGAAGTTGGCAAACTGAAGTCAGGCTGAGGCTTCTCATTTCTCACCTCCTGTAGTAACAGGAAGCTGATGGCAAAAGTGTCCGTGCACAGGCTGTGTGTGGCCAGACCCTTGGTGCAGCACTTACTAGCAACAGCCTGCATGAAGTTACAGAATCGACCTGAAATGCGGGTTCTTTCCTGTAAGACAGAACAGGAAGTGGCCCCTACCTCATCATCCTGTGCAGGGAGGGATTAGACAAGGTAATGAAGACTGGCAGTGTCATCACTGTCAGTATTGTCCCCAGTCATCAGATCCCAGCCAGGAGGAAAGAGAGGAGGCAGAAACAAGCCAGGAAGGTTCATAATGGCAGAGCTACACCACTAAAACGTGCAGAGAAGAGACCTCATGACGATTCCTGTGACTGCAGTACAAGTCAGTTTACAAAATGTCTTCACAAACTCCTGCACCTTACTTAAGCATGCATTTTCTTCTGATCAGTTGATAAGTGCATGGTTAAAAACGTTTGCTGTTTGTGCTCCTCATGCCCCTCTGAGTCCTGCTTCCCGAAGACTGCCACTTTCAAACCTGTCCGCGGGGTGAGCCTCCGCACTTGACAATTCCTACACAGCCTTTCACTGGGAGACCGCTGGCTTTCTGCTGTGGAAAGCGAGGTTTCTGCCACCAGCCTTCCCCCAGCATGTGGCTGCGCCTGCCCTCCTCCCAGCCTGCCGATAGAAGTGTGTGTCCTTGTTGGTTAGGCCGATAGCTGGTCTGGACCTCACGGCCGTACGACCATCGGTCTCTGCAGCTGAGCTGTGCAGTGTGCTATTATCTCATTGTCTTTCTTGTGCAATCCTTTCGTTTCCCCTGGGGTTAGTAATTGTCCACTTTTGGTTGCTTAGTTTCCTTACCTCTTACTAATTAATCTCTCAACTCCCTAAAGGAAGTGAAACACTCCGCTTAACATGTTCAGATCTATTGTAATTAACCTTGATGATCTATCACTGCACTTGATTTTTGTCAGCATTCTCCATCACATGTTGGCGATCCTTGCTCTTCCGTGCATAGCTAACAGCGAGGCACTGAACACTGGAAATCACCATTCCAGGTGGAGTCATGGAGCAATGTGGCCGGATGCTTCGGGCTGCTGCTGGGTGTCAGGATCCGCAGATCTTTTCTCCTGGGATCGCTGGTTTGATCAGAGCAGGAGCAGCAATGTTCTGGCCCGAGGTGGAGGTGGTGCATAAACCCTGCTTCAGGAATGTGGGAGCTAAGCTGGGGAGGGAACCGCATGCTGGATTCACTGCCTTCCCCTGTTTTCAGCCTGGAACGCCCCCTTCCTCCGTCCCTGCTTGCTCCCAGTGCTGCTGAATTCAGTTCTCCGTTTTGATCTCTTTGGAGGGAAAATTCTAGTCCTCTACCAATGTGGAAGAGGGCTTTTGGGGTCCATTACTCCTCATAGAGGTTTTCCATCACACTTCCTACTTTCAGTCCTGCTCGCACCCTCACTCTCAGAGACGCCTGGTCCTTCTAATTGGGACCTTAGCAGGGACTGTGACACTGGTTCCAGCTCTCCCTTATGTTGTCGGGTGTCAATTGGCTGGCTACGCACCACTTTCTGTCTATTCATCACTTTCCAACATTTGTCTCTTTCTTCCTGTTCTATTTGTCCTTGTGTGTTTGTGCGTAAAAAATGTACAGAACTTATCATCACGGTTGAGGATTTGACTGTGAGTGACAGCATGGGGCACTCTCGCTGGATTCTTTGACTTGCTACTGAATGTCGAGGTCTGTAGATCTTCTCTCCTGGGATGCTTGCTTTGATCAGAGCGGTCTCCTTTCCTCTCACCCTGGTGGCTCTTCTGGGGAGGTGACTCGACCTGCCATGTTTACCTGAAAGCTCCAAGGGGAATGATTTAGTCTCTTTGTAATGAGGAAACTCAAGGTTTCTGGATCTGAGCTGTGCAAAGACACTTAAGTGAAGGGATCTGAACCCACATCTGGTTCTCTATCTCAGGTTGTTCTACAGCACATTTGCTGGACCTGCATTCCATTCATTCCCCTAATAAACACTTCAGACAAATTTCTGCAGCAGGGTTTTCAGAAGGTTCAAGGGTGTAATGGATCAACGGCTACATCACATCAAACATTAGATTTTTAAAAAAGATTTATTTAGTTAGTTGAAAGACAGAGTTACAGAGGCGGAGGCAGAGAGAAAGTGAGGTCTTCCATCCGCTGGTTCACTCCTGAGATGGCCACAACGGCCAGAGCTGTGCCGATCCGAAGCCAGAAGCCTGGAGATTCTTCTGGGTCTCCCACGTGGGTGCAGGGGCCCAAGCAGTTGGGCCATCTTCTACTGCTTTCCCAGGCTGTAGCAGAGAGCTGGATTGGAAGTGGAGCAGGCAGGACTTGAAGCCGCACTATATGGGATGCTGGCACTGCAGGCAGTGCCTTTACCCGTTACGCCGTGGCGCCGGCCCCAAACATTAGATGTTGTGATGCTCAGTTCTTCCCGCCACTGGGAATCTGTGACTCTGGTCATGTTTCCACATTCTGAGGGGCCTCCTTCTCCTTCTCCTCCTGAGCTGCTTGTGAAAACCCAGAGCTTCTCTCACAGGCTTGTTTGTTCTGCAGACAATCGAGCTGTTTCTTCCATGCTCTTCACGTCCCACGGAAGTAGTTAAGAAGGTAGCGGTGGGAGACTTGATTTGACTCTCTGAGAATCCTGTTGTATTAGGCAGGATAAATTCTGGAGAACACAGGACTTCAAAGTGACACATGGAAACAAATTCTTATGTCCTAGAGGAGAACTTGGTAGGGCTCTCTGCTCTAGGCAGTCACTCAGGAAATCAGGCTGATGGGAGCTCTGCCACTTGATCATGGTCTCCAAAGATGTTCCAGTCCTCGCCATCTCAGTTAGCCGGAGGGAGGTGGAGGGTGGATGCACAGGGACACAGCGCGGTCCAGGCGGGAGCTCACATCTCTGCTGCTCACCTTCTGTTGTCAGATGGATTACATAGCCCTGCTGAGAATGCTTAGGGAGTATGGACTCAGGCTGCTGATCCATGCTGGTTGCTTCCCCATCTAGAACTCTCACTGTGGAGGAAACAGAAATGGCACATTGGTGGACAGCTAATGGTTTCTGCTACAACTATTATTAATCCAAAATGGAAATTATCTTTCTAATGGAGTGCTAAGGAAGCTTAAATCATAGCTGTATTTTTGAAATACCATTTTTTTCTTTAGGAGATATATATCCATTCATCCAACTATCCATCCACAACTCACCCTTTATAGATCAACCTTAAAACATGAGGGAGAAAGCCATCAGTCAACCAGGAACTTACTGGGTGGGGTTGGATGCTGTGTTTCTCAGGATATCTGCCCCTGCCAAGTTTTCACTCTATTTTCTGCATGTCTCCAGTCAAAACAGTCCTGTTGAGTTTTGCTTTTAGTGTGGTATGAATTCAAGAATACTGGACATTCCTTTTCCCCGGGAATGCCACCCAGCACCTCTCCTCCCCTCCCACCTGTGTTCTGACAGGTTCCCTGAGGAGGTAGGCCTCCTGAGGTTTGAGACTCACTGGAAATACAAGTGCTGCAAAATACATCTTTGCACATGAGGTAAATGAATGGATTGGTTTGCTTAGGGGACTGCTTAGAGCAGAGAGAAAAACCCCTGAAGGCTATTTACGAAACAGCTGAGGTATCCTTGTAGAGTAAGGTGGGAGGAGATGGAGAGGAGTTGATAATATCAACCCAATGAAAGACTGGGGAAGGTGAGGCAGGCACCAGTATAGACAAGACTGGCTAAGGTCAGGGGCGCAGCCTACGTGTGGTGGGATTTCTCTGATGTTACTGTTTCGGGAAGGCAGGGATACAATGACTCAGACAGCAACCACAGGGATAGAAAATCTGCATGGATCCTTTGACCTTCACCTAGTTCATCCTCTGGACAACTGGAAGCCACGCTCCACTCAAATCTAGCAGAAGAAAGCATATAAAATACCCATTTTATCTGGGAGTAAACCATTCATGTAGGAGCCAATACAGCAGCAATTGTTGACAGACTATTATAAATCTTGTTCCTGGAGAAATATACAAACCCTTTGGCTGGAAAGCCAAAGTCACCAGACACAAATTAATTCTGAAGCTGCAAACAAAGGCTCTACTCAGAGAAATAAGGAAGTATATGCTCCCTCCCAAGAAACACCTTTTTTCCTTTAGACCCAATTTTAAGAAGAAATACTCTTGGCCAGGGCCATGGCTCAATAGGCTAATCCTCCGCCTAGCGGTGCCGGCACATCAGGTTCTAGTCCCGGTCGGGGCACCAGATTCTGTCCTGGTTGCCCCTCTTCCAGGCCAGCTCTCTGCTGTGGCCAGGGAGTGCAGTGGAGGATGGTCCAAGTGCTTGGGCCCGCGGTGGCCATTAGAGGGTGAACCAACAGCAAAGGAATACCTTTCTCTCTCTCTCTCACTGTCCACTCTGCCTGTCAAAAAAAAAAAAAAAAAAAAAAAAACCAGAAGAAGAAGAAATACTCTACATTAACACTCTCCATGAAATGAAGGAGGAATAATCTGGAATTCAGCAGCAACCGAATCTACCTTTGGGACTTTAAATTATGAATAAACAAGTTTTCCTTTCAGTTACTCCTGTCTCCTGTCAGCTCTCAGCTTAGTGTTACTTTGGGTTGGCTGAGTCACCCTGGGTGGATTTTCCAATATGGTGGCTCAGTTGGCCATTAGTTGCTCCAGAACTTTTCTTTTTTTATAGTTCAGCAAAAATTGCTCTCATTGGCCTGACATTGGCCAATGCCCATCACTGGGCCCATCACATGCCAGGCGATTGCCAAGCATTCGTTGCCACATATCTGTCCACTTTTGGGGTCTGGGGGAGCCATCTTCTCCACAGGATCCATGGGAATGGAGATTGAGGGAAGGATAGTTCATAAAAAGGAGGAGATGGATGCTGGGCCAGCAGAGAAAGCAAAACACAACCCAACAACCACAACCACAACCACAAAATAACTCCATTTGCCCAAACTATTTGTTACTCATGTGGGAGACAACACAGAGATCGTCTTAGATGTGTTAGGATTTAGAAAGTAGATCACTGAGAAATGGATCAAATTAAGAATCCCGGAAGACGTGCTGTAAAAAGAAATGATGGCAGAAAAGAAAAAAATAAATAAAATGTAGAGTGTATGTTGCTAACAACATAGTTAAAATTCTAATCAAATGAGAGAGCAAACTTGTTAAGAGACTGAAGCGTTTCAGATAAACCCGATGAATGAGAACTGCCTGCCAAAGTAAGAAGGGTCTGAGACACCAAAGACAGAGGCTGACAAATCCAGGATTACCCAAAGGCTAATTTATTGGGAGAGTTCACTGTCTTGGTCTGGCCTCAAGACAATGGTTCTCAGCACACCCAGTCAATAGTAAGGGGTTTATATGTTAAGCTAGACAAAGGTGACCTGGGCTAACCTAAGTGCACCTGGACTTTCTCCAGAAACATTAACATTCCATGGGTTAGATAAGAGACATTCCAGGGTCCAGCCTGCAAGATAAGCCCAGCAGGTTATCTTAATGACTTCATTTACTCCACTATAGGGCTTGCTGATGACCTCTAGGGTTACCTGGAGGGCAAGATGGTGGCTACATACAGAATGGCTGCAGTCACGTCAAGCTGAATCCCCACACCAAGGTAAAAAAAAATGTATTCATAACCTACTGGTTATTACAATGAAAATTCTCAGATTAGGTTAAGTCAAGAAGGGAAAGGGATGTGAAATAGGAGAGAGTAAGAAAAACTGGGACACACCAGGCCAGAGGGAAAGACATGTCCTTCTCACTGTCTCTAGTGAGCTGGCACCAGCCTCACATGCAACAGGACCAGAATTCTGAGAAGCAGGAGACCCAGGTCATCCAGCAGATGCTAGACAGTTTGTCACTACAATAGCACCTGGCCCTATGCTGACCTTTGGTTTTAACAAATGACTATTACTTTATTCTTGTCTTCCAAATCCCATGTAAATGTCCCTTGGGGCAAACTCTATCCCACAACCATATAAGGAAGGGAATTCTGTGAAACGTAGTTCTTCCAGTTTAGCAAAGTGGTTACAATACAAAGCCATCACAATAATTAAATGAGCAAGAATGAAAGAAAATTAATTCAACAGTTAACTCAAAAATTTAGAGAAGAATAACAAATTGAATGAAAGTAAAGGGAAAAATTAATACAGACAAAATTAATAAAGACAAAACTTATGAATAAGGAAATTAACTAGATAGATGTGTTAAAGAACTGAGTATTTGTATAAAGGCTAATATAACAAATAAACCTTTAGCAGTGCTAACAAAAACAAAAAAGAGCAAAATATCATGAGTGAGAAATAACACAAAGTCCTAGAAAGAAATTTCTAAAGAAATGACAATAAACAATTGGAAATTAAAACTAAAACCACCAATTTCATGGTCATAACAATCAAAATAATCAAGGATAAATATAACAAATTATGCATTAGACATACATTGGAAATCACCAAATATTGGTGAGAGAAGTTAAATACAACTGAAATAAAAGAAAGATATACCATGTTCATGAATTGGATTTCAACTGTCCCCCAAATGATCTATACATTTAAAACAATCCCAATTAAAATCTCAGCAGGGGGACCAGCACTGTGGTATAATAGGTAAAGCTGCTGTCTGCTGTGCTGGCATCCCGTATGTGCGCCGTTTCTAGTCCCAGCTGCTCTTCTTCCAATCCAGCTCTCTGCTATGGCCTGGGAAAGCAGTAGAAGATAGCCCAGGTCCTTGGGCCCCTGCACCCACGTGGGAGACCTGGAAGAAGCTCCTGGCTCCTGGCTTTGGATTGGCACAACTCTGGCCATTGCGGCCATCTGGGGAGTGAACCATTGGATGGAAGACCTCTCTCTCTCTCTCTCTCTCTCTGCCTCTCCTCTCTGTGTGTAACTCTTTCAAATAAATAAATCTTTAAAAAAAAAAAAAAAAGAGGTGAACCTTGGTGCTCAACATCATTATTCACAATAGGCTAATCCTCTGCCTGCGGCACTGGCATCCTGGGTTCTAGTCCCGGTCGGGGCGCCGGATTCTGTCCCGGTTGCTCCTCTTCCAGTCCAGCTCTCTGCTGTGGCCCAGGAGGGAAGTGGAGGATGGCCCAAATCCTTGGGCCCTGTACCCGCATGGGAGACCAGGAGAAGCATCTGGCTCCTGGCTTTGGATCAGCATGGTGCACCGGCTGCAGCAGCCATTGGGGGGTGAACCAACGGCAAAAGAAAGACCTTTCTCTCTGTCTCTCTCTCTCTCTCTCACTGTCCACTCTGCTTGTCCAAAAAAAAAACCCAGAAAAAAAACAAAAACAAAAACAAAAACAAACAAAAAACACAATGAGATATCATTATGCACATAGTAGAATGGTTAAAATTTAAAAAGATTAATCATACTAAGTATTGCAAAGAATGTGGAACAACTGTAATTCTTATACATTGCTGATGGGAATGTAAAATGTTACAGGCTTTTTTTTTTTTTTTTTTTTTTGCCTTTGGTTTAATTTCCTGAGGCTGCTGTCACAAATGACCACCAACTCCGTGGCTTACAACAACACAGATTGATTTCCTCACAGTTCTGGAGGCCACCAGTCCAAAATCAGCTCCATGGGCTGTGAGCAAGGTGCGGGCAGGGCTGTGCTCCTCTGGAAGTGCCAGAGCAGAGCTTGCTGCCCGCCGCCGGCGGCTGGTGGCAGGTGCTGAGGTCCTCGGCTGTGGCTGCATCACTGTAGCAACTTCAGATTTCTCTCTGCTTGGTCTCCTTCACTCCGCAGCTGCCAGTCTTCCCCTGCCTCCTACTAGGACAGCCATGATTACAGTTAGGGCCACCCTGACAGTTCTCTAAAATCCCCCACCTAGAGACCTTCAGTTTTTCTTTGTTTTTAAGATTTATTTATTTGTTTAAAAGACAGAATTACAGAGACAGAGTGAAAGGTGAGAGAGAGAGGTCTTCCATCCGCTTGTTCACTCCCCTGATGGCCACAACAGCAGGGGCTCGGCCAGGCCAAAGCCAAGAGCCAGGAGCTT